ATTTTCAACAGTGCATGCAAACACAGAGCCTGACCCTGCTACTCTCGTGTGAACCATCCCGCGGGCTGCGGTGGGAGCGGGATGGATCCCGCTGACCTCAGCAGGATTACATGCATGAATCAGAGCTGCAGGCCTGGGCTCGGAGCTGCAATTCAGTACCGGGCCGGACGCCAGCGCAGGGCCCAGGGTCCACTTAGGCTCCACTTAAGCCCTATGGGATGCAAGTGGTACGCAGGCCTGTGGATGCGAGCAGCGAGCAAGCCTCGTGCTGGGCCTCTGCTGAAGGATGAATTTCAGCCCTGCTTCTTAACCTCATGGATGCAAACAGGCAGCAATGGCTTCTGAAGCACGGAGCAAAGGCGCTGGGGAAGGACTGGTGAACGCACGTTGGCGGCGGTGGCCTCAACAGGAGCCCCGGCACAGGAGCAACTCGTTGTGGGAGCACTATGCTGTGATTTATGACAGCTTCTCCTCCAGAGGAAGAGGTGTTTGACAGCCCTCCGCACGTCCGCAGCCGCAGGGCCGTGCTGTGCAGCAGGGTGGTTCTGTCAAGCCTGCGTATCCTTTGTGCACAAGAGAAGCCAAATAAAAGCAGACAGGAGGGGGTCCTCGGTGCTGACATTTCCTATCTTGCATTGCTTCAGATGTGGGATGACCTTTACCTGCTCCTGTGATTTGGCTCTCACTGAGCTCAAGATGTCAGGCTCACTTCCAGTGCTCCATCAGACACTGAAATCAAGGACGACCTTCCCTTTAGGGTCAAAACCCAGTACTCTGCCATGAGCCACTCTCATCCCTAGAAGTGCTGAGCGTTGAACATCGCACACAGCTGCTGGTATTCAGCACCACTCTGATCCCCTAGCTCAAGATCCCAACTTTGAAACGTGCACTGAAATTCTTGGTATGACCCTTTGGGGAAAACAAAACAAAACAAAACAACAACAACAAAAAAACCAGCCATTTATCATGCAGGTTTTGTTTTGGGACAAATTTCCAACCCACACATCCCTGCAAGAACTGTGAAGCAAATGTAAAACAGCCAATGACAAGTGGAAGGATAATAATCTTTAAAAAATAATGATAATAAAATTTGTAGTGACATATTTATCCCAAAAATAGGCACTGCAGGAGTGGTTGTTATTGGCAAAGCCAAACCAGGGGTTCCCAGGATCTGGGAGGCAGAGATGGGTTGAGACCCAGTGGCAGGACGGTGCAGGAATGGGACCAGACAGGGAGGACGAAGGCAGCACGCTGCTGGGGGAGCGTACAGCATCCCTGCCTTGGACGTGGCTGCTGAGCCCAGGGATTAAAGAACACATTTCATTCGAAACAAGAGTGGAAGAGTCACTGCTGGGAAAGCGTCGCGTTGGGATAAAGCCTTTCTTTGCCCCGGGAGGCAGCGGGCCAGGGCTATGCCAAGGCGGGTGTGCCAAGAGGAGCGTGTCCCGCCCAGAGCCGGTCGCTGCAGGAGAGGTCGCTCCGTGCCCCCTCGCCGCGGAGCCTCCCGGGGCCGGGCTCGGAGCGCGGACCTCGGGCGGGCAGCCGGCAGGTGGCCGGGCGGTGCGGGGCCGGGAGCGGCGGGGCATCGCTGGTACCGTCCGCCGGCCGCCGTCCCGGTGCCCGCGAGCGGCCCCGCCGTGCGGGGGCGTCCCCGGAGCGCTGTGGTTCTCACATAAATCAGGGCCGAGCCCCTGGGAAAGGGCCATCCTTCACCGGGCGCTGCTGACAGAGAACGAGAAACAGACGGGCCCTGAGATAAACCACGGCGCACAGCGTTTATACAAGGGCAGGCTCTGTGTAAATAGAGCCGGGCGCGGGGGGCAGCTCCCGGCGGCACGGACCCGCACCGGCCCCCACCGGCCCGCGGAGCTCGGGGCCGCCCGGGGCGGCGTGCAGGTGGGCGCCGGTCGACGGTACCCCGGCAGCCGGCCGGGGCCTCGCCGCCCTGCCCGGCCGCTCCCCGCGCGGCCGTCGGGGCCGGAGACAGCCCCGGCTTAGCGTGTTTGTTTGTTTACGGCCATTAGCGCGGGGCCGGCTCCGGCGCTCGGCACCCGCGAGACTAATGGAGCAATTAGCGGCCGCGGGGCTGATAGCATCGCCCCGAGCGAAGGCCCCCGGCCGAGGCAGCGTGCTACCGGGCTGCCCGCGCTCGGGCCCCGGCGGCTGGGGGGGCTCTCGGGGCGGCTCCGCGATGCGCGGGGCCGCTGCAGGGCTGCTCCCCCCTCCTCGGCCCGGGGCGGGGGAGCCTTGGCTCCGCCGCAGCATCCGTACGGCGAGCTCCATCCATTACAATAATCCCCTGTCTAAACAGAGCGCAGGAACGGCCGGGACAACAAGGCCCCGCTGTAAACAGAGCTCAGGGTACGCCGCTAATGATATAAATAAAATAACCATTAATAGCCCGCTGACCCCGGCCCGGTCGCCTTGGGAAAGCCCCGGAGCCGCATCCCGGGGCTGACACCCGGCGGCAGGTACCGGGGCTGCGCCCTGCCCCGGCTCTCGCACCCTCCGCATCGCTCCGGGACGCCGCCGCTCGTCTCGGCCGCCCCAGCACGGGCCCGAGCAGGGCCGAGCAGGGCGCGATCATGCCCCGCTTCCGCGGCTTCCCCAGCCGGGAACGGCCGGTCTCCCAGCGCCGAGGCGGGCCCGATCCGAAGCTAGGGCCGGCAATGCGGGAAAGCGCACCGGGAGCAGGGGCAGGGGACAAAGCCTCGGGAAGGGTCGTGGGTGCTGCCACGCGCGTCTCCTTCATCCGCGGGACGTGCGTTCCTAGAGTCATCGCCGGGGTCGGCGGCGGCACGGAAGCGGGTCCCGACGGGAGAACCGCTCCCGTCGCCGAGCCGCCCCGGGGAGCCAATTCCGCCCGGCCCGGGCTCCCCGTGCCCGCGGGGCGCGCCTGGCGCTCGGCCCGTCCGGGCTGCAGCTGCGGGCGGCAGCGCGCTGGCGCCAGGCGAACCCGCGGGGACGAGGAGCGTAGGCAGAGACCCGGCCGGGCCCGCGGCCGAGCCCAAGGAACGGCGGCTGGAAAACTGTAAAAAGAGGGCCCCTAATTCTTCGGCCACCCAGGGCCGCAAAGGCCCAGCGCCGCCGCCTCGCCCTGCTCCGGCCTCTGCCCCTCTGCTCGCCGAGCGGCGGCCGCGGGCTTCGGGTGAGCGCGGCCCCGTGCACGGCCCGTGGAGCCCGAGCCCGCACCTCCCCGGGAGCCGCGAGGCGGGAGCGGGCCGAGGCCGGCGGCGAACGGAACACCGGAACGGCGCTAATCGTCACCGGGACCGCGGCAGCGCGGGGCTTCTCTCCGCGCCCCGGGACAGCGCCGAGCGCTGAGTCGAACCCGGTTACGGCGGCAGTGTTTCCCGGTGCACGGTCGGAACCGGGCGGTCTGAGGACAGCAGAAGGGAGGGCGGCCCCGGGAGCGGGCAGGGAGCGATCCGCAGCAATCGCTGCGCGGGTTTCAAAGCGGCGCGGTGGGGAACGATGCGGTGCGCCCGGGCCGTCTCCGTGTCCGCCGGGCGAACGGGACCGGCAGCAGCCGAACAGCGGCCATCTGCGCGGGACGTGGGCCCTCTTCCCGGGGCTGCGCCGCCGGTAAATGCGTTTCGCCGTTGCGGTCGGAGCGGTGGGATGCAGGGAAACGAAAGTACCGACATGGCCGGTAAACGGCGGAGCCGCCGCCCGGTACCGACCCGAGAAAGGTACCGACACTCACCTGCCCGCTGTGCGCCCGGCTCCCCGCCGCCTCGCCTCGGTGCCGATACGAGTCCTGCGGGGCGGCAGCATTTTAATCACAACGAAATTTCCCACCCGGCCTCCCCCGCCCAGCACTTGGCGCGCCCGATCCGCGTTCCGTGGAGACGTTTAGCCCTTCGAGCACCCCGGGGGCCGCGGGGCCCCGTCATGGGGTCCCGGTACCGCCCGCCGCAGCGCATGGTGTGTTCGGTGGGGCCGAGGTGCACCTCCGGGCCCGGGGGAATTCTCGGTGTGGAGCGGCTCGGCGGGCAGCGGCCGCTCGCTCGGTGCGTTATCCACCGGCACGGTGGCGTGGCAGCTCCGTTCGGCCGCTGCCCGCTCGTTACCGGCGAGAGAAACGAAACGAAACGAAAGAAAACGAAAGGAAACGCCGAACGGGACGGGTTAACTCTCCGTACTCCTGCCCCGCGCCGCCGCGGCCCCTGGACGCCCGCCGGCCGCGACCCGGCCCTGTTCACCTGGGCCCGGCGCTGGCGAGGCTCTGGGGCCCGATCCGGCCGCGGCGGAGTAACGCGAGGTCCCCGGACGGGAGCAGAGCACGGCGGCTGCGGGGAGCCCGTGCGGGTGGGAGAGGACGCGCCAGCGCCGAGGTATATGCGGGAGCAGTGGCGGGGCAGCGGGGGTCCGGAAAACACGGAGGTCGTCGGGTACGTGTACGTCGCATGGCTACTGCCCGCCCGGACGCCGCGTACTCGGCAGCGGGGCACTTGCGGGGCCGCACGTGTTCGCTCCGAGCCGTGTGCGGGAGGGGACCGGCGGAGCGCGCCGGGCGGGGGTCCCTACCTACCTACACGTGCTTAGCACTGGGAGGCGCGGCGGCGGCGGCCGCGGCTCTCTCCGGGGTCCCCGACCCCCGCGCCCTCGGGCTCAGCCCCGTCGGCGGGTGCCCGGGCCGGCGGGACGCTCTCCGGGGTAGCGGCCTCCCCGAGCGCAGCCTTAATACATTGCTATTTCTGGCCGGGCGGCCGGAGTCGGGCAGGGGGCCGGCTCTGCCTCCCCCTCCCTCCAATGGCGAGGCCGCCCCCGGCCCCTCCTCGCCGTGACGTGCCGGCCCGGGGCAGAGGAGGCTCCCGAGCCCTTGGCTGTCCCTGCAGAAGCTGTAACAAAACGCAGACCCCCAGCGCCGGGCTAATGGAGGCAACTTAGACAGGAGCAGGCGCGGCCCCTCGTCTCTCGGCGCTGCCCGCTCCCCCCGCACCGGGCGCGGCGCTCCCCGCCGAGCCGCAGCCCGAGCGCCGCCGGGCCCCCGGGACTCCCCGGCCGCTCGCGCTGCCCCGATGATGTTACCGAGCCCCGTCACTTCCACCCCTTTCTCTGTCAAAGACATCCTCAACCTGGAGCAGCAGCAGCAGGACCCGCACTATGGGGCCCAGCTCCCGCACCACCTGGAGCACCACTTTCACCCCGCCGCCTGCCTGCTGGCGGCCGCCGACGGCGCCCGCTTCTCCGACGGCGAGGAGGAAGAGGAGGAGGAGAAGCTGTCCTACCTGAGCTCCGTGGCAACGCCCGGAGGCCAGGCGGACGCGCGGCTCTCCGCCGACAGCTACGTGCACGCCGTGCTGCGCGGCTCCTGCGAGGCTCCCGGCCCAGGAGAGGATCTGGACCCCACGGCCCGCGACCCGAGTGAGTACCGGCCCCGCCGCGCTTCCCGCACCGCCAGCAGCGCTCGCTCTCCGCCGTCCGTTCCGCGCCGCGGAGCCCCGGTACCGGCGCTGCCCCGCAGCCGCGCCGCTCTACGCGGAGCCCTTTCCCTGCCCCGTCTCCCGGGCGCCTGGAGCGGGGAGTGGCACTTCGCGGGGCTGCCGTACCCAACCTCCGCGCCGCGGCGTTCCCCGTCCCCGGGCAGAGCCCGCAAGGAGCCGCGATCCGGAGTGGCCGGATTGTCCCACGCTTCCCCGCTTGGCGGTACGGGTGAGGCCCGGCCCGGGCGCGGTGCGCCGGAGCCCTCTCGGAGCGAGGTGGCGGACGAGCAGGTGCCCGGGGCTCGGCCTCGAGGGAGCTCCGTCGCCGGCGCGGAGGCGCGGAATCGCTCCCTGCCCCGCCGCCCGCCTCGGCGCTGCTTCCCAGCCCGAGCTGCGTTTCCCCGACGGTCGCGGTGTCGGGCGGTGGTGCGCGGTTCGGGGCTTCCTCCCCGCGGGGCGGCCCGGCGCAGCCGTGACCTGTGCTCCTCCGTGCAGAGAACTGCGCACTGAAGAAACCGCTGGACGCCGCGGAGAAGCCGGAGGAGGCGGAGAGGCCGAAGCAGCGGAGTCGGAGGAAGCCGCGCGTCCTCTTCTCGCAGGCGCAGGTCTTCGAGCTGGAGCGACGGTTCAAGCAGCAGCGTTACCTGTCGGCTCCCGAGCGGGAGCACCTGGCCAGCAGCCTGAAGCTCACCTCCACGCAGGTGAAGATCTGGTTCCAGAACCGGCGCTACAAGTGCAAGCGGCAGCGGCAGGACAAGTCGCTGGAGCTGGGCGGCCCCGCGGCCCCGCCGCCGCCGCGCAGGGTGGCCGTGCCCGTGCTGGTCCGCGACGGCAAGCCGTGCCTGGGCGGCTCGCAGGGCTACAGCTCGGCGTACAACGGGCCTTACTCCTACAACGGCTTCCCCGCCTACGGCTACGGCAACGCCGCCTCCTACAACCCCGGCTACGGCTGCACCTACCCGGCGGGCAGCGGCGGGGCCTCGGTGCAAGCCGCCTGCAGCCCGGCGGCGGCCGCCGGCCCCTTCGTGAACGTGGGCGGCCTGGGGGGCTTCGGCGGCGGCGGGCAGGCACTGCACCAGGCGGCGGCGGGGCCCTCCTGCAGCCAGGGCGCACTGCAGGGCATCCGGGCCTGGTAGCCCGCACGCACTCAGGGCCGGGAGCGGACCGGCACGACGGCCCCGCAGCCCCGCAGCGCCCTTACGCCCCGCGGACTGAAGGCGGAGGGGCGGCGCGGCGGGACCCCGGCTCTCTCCCGGGGCCGCGGGGCGGAGCGGAGCGGCGGAACGGAACGGGACTGGACGGGATAGGACGGGCCGAGCCCGCGGCGGAGCGCCGCCGCCCCGAGGTGCCGCCGCGACGGGCGGGCCGGAGCTGACCGCGCCACGATATCGGGGCAGCTTCGCTTGTAAAAAGCCGACGGCGGGGCCCGGGGCTCCCGCGGCCCTTCTCTCTATCTACTCTGTATCGGTTTCTGCCAGCGCCAGCTCGCGGAGTCAGTCAATAAACCAGGTGCAATATCCGCCGCCCGCTCCTCCTTCGCCCGGCGGCCGGTGCCCGGCGGGACTCGCAACGCCGTGCCCGCGGGGCAGGGCGGCCCGGGCGGATTGTGAGCGTGCCAAGGCGCTGAATGGGGCCGCGCAGCTCAGAGCCGGCCCATTGTGGCCGCCGGGCCGGCGCTGAAAGGAGCCGCCGAGGAAGGTAGCGGGAATAGGCGCTTATTGGATTCGGGAACAAAAGGTGTGGCAGGGAGGCGAGGGACAAAGGGGCCCCGGCGCCGAGATTGACGGGCCGCTTTGCCCCCCACTGAGGCCCAGGCCCGGCGCTTTATGCGCGGGGGCTGCAGAAACGTGCTGGGTTTTGTTCCCCTTTCTCTGAGCGCAGGGGGAGATGAGGGGGGTCCGCGGGCCGCTGATTAGGGCCGGCCGGGCCGGGCAGTCTGAATGCCGGGGCATTATTGCTACATGTTCAACCATTCCGCTCGGCTGCAGGGGGAGGGGGCGGACGAGACCCTCAACACTGCCCGGCGACCGTTCCGGCCCCCGTCCCGTCCCGTCCGGGATCTCGCAGCCACGGCGCGGCCCCACCGTCGGTGCTGCTGCTGTGCAAAGCCCGGAGGATGGGCGTCCGCGGAGCCCCGACTGCGCAGGGAGCGATCCCGTAACGTGTCGATCCCGCAGTGCCGTCCGCAGCCAGCACAGACGGGCCGCGTTCTGAGCGTTGGCGCTGCTAAAAGGCTGCGCGTCTGCACCGTGCGGGTGAGAGCGCACCGCTCGGTAAGAGCCGGAGAAATTTTCAGCTTCAGCCCCGACGCTCGGCACGGTGCGGTTCGGCTCAGCACGGCTCGCCGAGGCCGTGTCGTACGGCCACCCCGAGGCCGGGAGGCTCTGGAGCAGCGCTGGAAGAGGATGCGGCACGCCCAGCGATTGTTTGCCGGGTGGCAGCGAGGTGTCGCGGGAGAGGAAGCCCACGCTCGGCTGTTGGCCGTCGGAGCTGAGCGGTGGAGGCTCTGCAGTCTCGTGGGTAGAAACAGGATAGCCAAGAACAAAGATAGCAGAGCGGCAGCCCCGCGCTGAGATTGGATTCGGCCATAGGAAAGAATTGTATTCCCCTCTGTGTTCTGCCATATTGTCGTTTGCAGAAATAGGGGATGTGCGTGAGTTCGTGCCTCGGTGAGCAAGATGGAGGAATGGTAACCTTAGTACAACATTCTCCAAAATAGGGGTGTGCAAGGAGAGCTCCCCGCTTAGTGCATCCCCTCCAAGTAAGTGATGGTTTGTTGGGAATCCTCCTCATCCGACAGCACCCTGAGGCTCTGAATGAGATGCACACGTCTGTGGCCAAGCCTTGAGAATGGGCACTCAAACAGAGCAAAGGGGCACATGGAAACCCTACTGACCTACACAGCAGTGCCATGCAGCAGTGGCGTTACGGAGCACCGACAGCACCAAGCATTGCCGTAGGCATGGGTGTAGTATTGTGGGAGGTTCTAGATGTCCACCATTGTAATCCTCTCTGCTGGGATACATCCCAGCTGTCCCACAAGCACAGCTCAGGGGGAGGGACCCCTCAGCATATCCCTCACCCAAGGCCCCCCAGCAGATGAGGAGGATGGAACAGCACAGGGTGAGCTGCGAGCGGGGCGGCGGAAGTGAAGCATTCTGAAGAGGAGGAACAGCCGGTGGTGGTGGGAGGGAGGTGATGGGAGACTGCAGATTGGCCAAGCGGCCCAAGGAGGGGACACACAATGGGGGGAAGTGGCTGTGTTGCTGTGCTGGAAGCAGCGCCTGCCCATGACGTACCTCATCCCATCGCGCCCTGCGCGAGGCCATGTGTGCGATGTGCTGTTGGGACCCATCATGTGTGGTGCTGTGGCAGTGGTGGTGGTGGGGCCAGAGGGATGTTGGGGAAAGAGAAAGCCATGGCCAAGGGGCAGAGGTGTTTCTTCCTGGTCTAAAAGGCAAATTGGCTCTTGTTTGGGAAAGTGATGATTGATTCTAGACAGGGCCCAAAAGCCCTACAAAGCCTAAAACAAGCACTGGCCTAAAGCAAAGGAGGTGTGGAGGCTGGGTTTGAACCATCGCACCTAAGATCCACCTTGTGCATGGGCTCAGGTTTTGATTTCTGTTCACATTTCCTGGCTGAGGATAAGCCAGGCATGATCAGCTCTGTGCAGCAGCTGAGCAGCTCTCAGGAAAGGCTTCTCACATCCCATCACAGCCACATTCCTATGGCCCCTCTGTCACACTCATGATCACATAGAAGCAGCATGGATCCATATGAAGCACCACAGACATGCTCTGCTTTCCTCTCCTTCCCTGACACCTTTTCCTGTTTCTCCCTTCCGTTCCCTGTGGCACAGCAGGGACTGGGCACCTGGGAACCTGCAGCAGAACTCAGTGCTTGGGGGGATCATGCGGGAGCATCCCACAGTGCAGCGAGGAATTGTTAACTCAGAGCTGGAGAGTGCTGAGGAAGCTGTGGCCAGCTGTGGAACAGGTAAATATATTAAAATATCAATAAAGCCCATTGCTGTGCAGCTCCCACTAGCACAACAGCACTCTTCCTTTCACGGGTGAGCTACACAACCACAAGCACTCCCCCATCCTCAGTCCTGTCCCATGCATCATGAGGTGGCCACATCTGGCCAAAGCGGGGGGCACCTGCATTTTGCAGCCCCATCCCTGCGCTGGTGAGTCCCGATGCAGAGCCGCTGTAAAGGATTCAAGCAGAGGACGGAGGGAAGAGGCTGCGTTTGCTGCAGTACGCAGAGCTCCGTGCCACATTTCGCGGCTGTGCAATAAATTCCGCGACCGCTTCGCAGGGACGAGCTTGCTCCCAGCTGCGACACGGGTCCCGGCCTGTCCCCAAGCAAGATCCGCCACCGCCACCTATCGGCGGGCACACGGGGACAGGGGGCGGGAAGCCCCTCTTCGTCCCACAGCGGTGGGATCTCCAGCAGCGCCCTCCGCAAACGTCCTGCTCTGCTCTCAGCCCCAGCCCAGCGTCCAGCGCTGCAGCTCCTCGTCCCACGGGCACTGGGGGTCGCGGTGCCCACCTCCCGCAGCGCTGCCAGCCCCGGGCTCGCCAGAGGGAGCTGTGTCCCCATGGGATGTGTGGTCAATGTTGGTCCAGTTCCTACCCCTTCCCTTCATGTAGCAGCTCGCTGCCAAAGTCCAACGTGCACCCGAATGTTCTGGGGCCAGAGGAAGCAGCTTGGGTTTTTGCATTTCTCCTGGAACCTGCTGTGCCCTGTCAGCCCTCGAGCCACCAACACCTGGAACAGCCTTCGTATGTCCCCACTGCACTAAGACAGGTGCTGCTTCCTGCACTGGCCTCTCAGTGCCCACAAAGCAGGTTCCCAGCCAGTTTACCTCTCAGGCTGAAGCCTGCGCTCCCCTATCTGCACGGCACAGCTCCAGGGCTCCCCAGAACCCACATCTGCTCTGTGTCCAGGCAGCCCCAGCTCCTGAATTTACCACTGCTGTGGGGCCGTGGGGTCATGAGAACATGTATAACTTTATTGGGGTCTGACAAGAGCCCTGAGGAATTCCAGAGCCAGTGCTAGGCAGGCTGTGATGACACCTCAGTGCTTCCCAAGTGTGCTTCCAAGCAGGGCAGTGGCTGCCCCGTGGCCGTGGGTGGGATGGGACTGGGGGTCCTGCGGGGAGGTGAAAGGGAAAGGGTCGCCTCCAGCCCTTCACTGGGATGAGCGCAGCTCCCTCGCTGCAAGGCCAAAAATAGCGCAGTTACTCAGCAGAGGCTGTAGGAGGGGTTTCACATGACGCACAGCCAAATGCCGGGGAGGCCACAGGACGCACCCACATGGCTTCGCTGAGGCATTATCAGAGCTGGGGAGGGCAGCAGCCAGAGCTGAACCGGGACATCCAGCCCAGCTCTGAGCCAGAAGGGCTCAGGGAAGAGCACAATGCCTTTGCTGATGATGGAGGACGTGTTTTGGGGAAGCCACCACCATGAGCAGGGCTGCAGGCTCAGGGTGGGAGGCTGGTGGCTCACTATCAGGGATGAGCCCTGGCAGCCCAAGGGGTGCCCCAGGAGCCAACCTTGGAGCACCCTCAGTGCTGAACTCAGGGTTTCTTGAGCAGCCCCACTTCCTGCAGTGCTGCTGTTCTCGTGCAATGCTGCACTGCTCCATGCCCGCAGAGCTGCAGCCGCCTGGAGGCCATGCCCTGCCCAGGTCCATTGCCTCTCGACTGCTGACTTATCACATCCCTGCTCCCGGGGGTCTCTCTCCCTCCCCCAACACTTCTGTGGGCGGTTATTCCTGGAAACATCTCTCCTCATCCCAGAGTCACCTTCAATCATGCCTTTGCCTGCTGACATTTATAGAGCAGCTTGCAGTGGCAGATGGATTTAATAGCGTGAAGCTCCTCTGGCCCCTGCCCCTGTTTATGCCTTCCTCTCTGAGGCGGCTGCAGTGTGAGGGCTGAGGGTGAAACTGTAGCTTCGCTTCAGCTCTGCAGCACCAGGCTGTTCCTCGTTCTGCCCACTTGTCCTGCCATGGTTTCGCCCAACCGTTTCTGCTTCTCGGATTTCTGCCTCTTGGGTGGAGGAGCTGCCGGGCTGCCAAATCTTGCAGTGCTCAGGATATTTCTTAAAGCCCCAGCTCCTTGAACGGTGGCGAAATGAGGCTCCCAGCTCTCCAGCAGCTCTGGTTTCTTTAAGAAGAGCCCAATCCTCCTGACTGCACGGAATGGTGGGGCACAGGAGCAGAGGACAGGCACACAATGCAGCCAGACCCCCTTCCGCTTGCCACAGGTGGAGCATGAGGGGCAGAACGACCCCATGCAGGGCAGCCAGCAGCCCCAAACCCACAGGGACAGACAGACAGCACATACCGGGACTGTGAAAGCATTTCCTCCAGGGAGTTATTTCAGGCATGGCACCCTGTGGGAGGATGAGGCAGTGCAGGGCTCATGGCATCACGGCGTGAAATGGAGGTGTTCTGATCTGCTCTGTCCTGCTTGTGGTCAGGGCTGCAGCAGTAACTTAGTGGTGGTCTGGGCTGAGCAAGAAAAGAACACTGCTTTTCTCATGGACTTTTCCACCATCTAAAGCTTTCCTCAATCAAACTGGGAAGGCTGAAAAACAAGTTTCCTATCCTTCATTCAAGAGCTTCCACTGAGCACACAGGCACATCTGGCTGCTGCCTCCATGTCTCCAACAGGCAGTGGTCCCACCCACTGCCCTAACAGGAGCCCCACAAAAGAGCTCAGCGCTGGGCAGTCAGAAAGGTCGAGTGACAGCACTAGGCCACTCGAGAACAAGAAGGGGACATGATGATAGAGCAGAACTGTTTTTATTGGAGGTGTCAAGAGCAGGAACAAGAACAAACCTACAGCCTCCCCTCCTCAAGTGCCATCCTTCCCTACCCACCACCACCAGGGCAGTCAGCGTCATGTGTGCGTGCTACAAGACAACGGCAAAGCTTACACTCTGCTTCAGCCAAAAGCCAGACGAAGCCCTCAGCATCCTCGGCAGTGCCACTGCTCCCTCCTTAGTGACTGAGCTCAGCTATGGCCCTGCCAGTGACAGGGCAGGACATTCACTTTCACCTCCAAGCAGGGGTGAACTTTGCATTAGATGAGGATTTTGTTAAGGGAAGAACGGGAGCACAGCTCCAGTGAAGTGCCAGGGGATGTGATCTGTGCTGCAGCTCCCAGCAGGACATCTCGGGAGGCCACAGGAGTGAGTGAGCTGTACAGCCAGAGCCGAGCTGCAGCTGCCCCAGGCAAGAAATGGCACCGCTAAACCCAGAAGGGCTTTGCTGCCCCCTCTCTACAACGCAAACCAAATCAAAAGGGAGAGGGTCAGAAGACAAACCAGGAGGGGAGATGAAGCAGGTCTGAAGTCGGGTTTGGCTCTGGCTCACTTCCCAGCCCGACGCTCTTCCTGGCGCTTGGTGAGGATGTACTTAAAGAACTCGTACACAGACCAGGCAATCGCCGTTGAGGGCATCTGATAAATGACTCTAGCCTGGACCCCTCTGAAGTAGGCAGTCACACCGCCCACTTGGTACACCGTCCTGAAGGCATTGGCCATGCCTGTGATGTGTCCGCTGATGTTGGAGCTCAAGGCCAGGGACTCCTGGGTGTTGAGCAGCGTTTTGCAAACGTCCAAAGGTGTAGTGGCAGCAGCAGCTACAGCCCCCGCGCAGGCCCCGGAGACCACGTGGGAGCCTGGGTTGTACTGTCTGTGGGGGTTGAGGTGCTCTTGCAAGAACTCATAGGTCATGAAGTGAATGGCTTGGAAGGGGATGTTCATGGTGAGCTGGGTGGTGTAGCTGCGGTAGAAAGCTCCAACCCCTTCGTTGCGCCACACAGTCCGTACACAGTCTGTCACACGCTGGTAAGGTGAGTTGTACATCTGCATCCTCTGTTTGACCACTTGGGACAGACGGCAGCAGTGAGAAGCCAGCAGCAGCAGCCAGGATCCAGGCACAGAGAGGAAGAGAGAAAAAGAATCAGTGTGAAGCCAGGTTCCCGTGATGGACCCCTCTGACAAGTGGTCTCCAGCAGGCCCCTGGGCAGGTCTGTAGTGAATACATCTGAACAAGGTAACACCATCAGAGCACCACCATCTGCCACCTCTGCAGCTGCTGCAGCCTCTTTGAGGGACCAGCCTCATACCAGGCAAATAAGTTCAATATCCAAAGCGTGCACCTCACTCTGCTTCAAGTAACACATTTCACCATCCACTCCTACAGATCTACTGTACAGAAAATGATTCCCACTACAGTCATCCCATCATGTTCCAGCCAGATTGCTAGATCCGTATTATCCTACAAATGCTCTGACTACAAATCCTACAGCTGCAGTAAGAAGTGGAGCTCCAAGGACAAACTGACAACAGACAGTGAAAGCAGCTGCCCACTGCAGAGGCTGAGAGCCAAACAGCAGCCCTGCTTACAGCATGGATTTCTTTGTCAGCACAAGCGCAGAACCACATCACATCCTCCAGAGGACCTTTCACCACAGTATTCTCTAGTTTCAGTGCACTAGCAATGACTCTAAACGTGAGGATCCTATACCTGCTGCTTTCTCTGAGCTCTGCGCACCCGTCAGCAGTACACAGCTTTGGTCAGAATCTGCCTCTCCACACTCCTCTGTGGCTGCAGTTTACTGTGCTCCCCACAGCATCCGTCTTACTTGCCCACTGGCAGCTACTGGGCTCCCCAAATGGACCCTACAGTTCCCTCAAAGGATCCCCGAGGCTGGGCAAGCAGCAAGGACAGAGATGCCAGACAGGCGTCACAGAGCAGCCCAGGCAGATCCCACTCAGCCCCCCCAGCCCACCGGACAGGATCACCATTACCTTCTGCAGGGTTCATCGCTGCATCGTGGAGCAATGTTGCTACACACCCCGCTGCACCTGCAAAACAAGAACTGCCACATGTGAGGGGAGAAGACGGCGGGAGACCCCGGGGCTCCACCAGGACCCCGAGTCCCCTGCCAAAGCTGAGAAGGATGAGATCCAGAGGCAGCCTCAATCTCCAGAGAGGCAGGCCGGCGTGAAGAAGTTCCCACCCGGAAAGAGTTCGGCAAAGAGAAGGAGAAGAGCACAGCAGTCTGTCATGTCTCGTGGGCCAGGCGGGACCTGAGCCCCAGCGCCGTGGGACAGATGGCCACCGGCTCGCAGGGCTCCCACAGGACAACGGGAAGCAGACACCAGCGGCGGCAGACAGTGCCCTGCTCCCCCTGTCCCCGCGCTCTCCCGAGGCGGCCGCTCAGTGAAAACCACAGCACCGCAGCCACATCCGCTCTGTGCCACCAACCCCGAGGCGCTCCCGGCTCCCGTTAGCGGCTCCCATCCGTGGGTAACGACAGGAGCCGGGCCCGGCCGCCAGCCCGAACCCGGGGCGGCTTGGACGGGTGCAGCTGCGGAGAGGACACGGCTTTAGGGCCCCCCGGGCCCCTCCCGCAGCCCCGCGGCCCCCTCCCCGCTCCCGGCCCCGCTGGCCCCGTGCAGGGCGCGGCGGGACGAGTACCGTTGGCCACATGGCTATTGCCCCCCGCGTGGATGACGTCGCTCAGCGTCTTTTTTAACTTTTCGTAGCAGGCGAAGTAGAGCGCGTGGGCCGGGCCCGCGCCGGTGGCGGTGATGTTCAGGCCCCGCATGGGCCTCCACACGCCCTCGGTGCGCACGATGCGCCACAGGGCCTCCAGCACGTTCCGGTAGCGGGCGGCGGGCTCGGGCCGCAGGCTCTGCATCCGAGTCTGAAAGACAAACCGGTAGGCCCCGGTGACCCCCAACCAACCGGGCCTCCCCCCGGGACCGGCCCCCGGGTAGGCCCGGCCGCCCGCCCGGTGCCGGCACCTTGACGCAGTCGATGGGGTACATCACGCAGTGCTCCATGATGCCGGCCACGGCGCCCGCCAGCATGTGCGTGGACACGGCGGCGCCCTGCGGCAGCGCCTCGTAGTCGGGGGCGGGCGGCGAGCGCGGCTCCGGGCCCCGAGCCGCCTCGGCTCCCCCGGGGCCCGACGCCTCCGCGCCGCCCCGCCGCGCCCGGCCCGCGCCGCCGCCGCCGCCCATCAGCAGCAGCAGGACGCGGCCCGACTCCGAGCCGCCCCGCGCGCCGGGGCTGGCGCCCGCCC